CCCCCTTAGGAAACCCTACCCCGCGATGCCGCACCCAACCCCGCGGACCCCCCTCTCCCCGGGACTCTCCCCCCTGGGAATCCTAGTTCCGCGATACTTCCCAACCCTACGAACCCCCCTTCCCTGGGAACCTCCCCCCTCAGCGATCCCTCCCCCCAAGCCCGAATCTTCAGCCGCATCTGAAACAAACAAGGCAAATCATGAATGATTAGTATGATGAGCAACAGGTGACAAAACTGGCTTCTACATTTGTATCTAATCCCTCAGCCACGTAGTTAAAAGTTCTGTTCTATGATCATTAGTGGCATGGCGTGAATTGCGATATATCGATTTTTATGCCATTTAAACCTATGGAAAATGATCGATAAACAGGGTGTTCCCAGCGGACACCTTAATAATAGATTCTTTACCATAGGTTTAAATGGCATAACAATCGATATATCGCAATTCACGCCACGCCACTGATTATTTCCCTGGACTTATAAATGCTAAAGGGAACTATTTGCATGCAACATACTTCCTTTTAGCTTGCATAGGTCCATGATCCATTTGTCCATTTATCTCTTGTCAAAATTTTAGTCAAGGCACCATGCCAAAATTCAGATATCAAAGTTTAAGTATTACTTTTTCAAATTTAAAATGCAGTTCCGTGATGCTTTTGGACTATATCATGCAGCGTTAATTGCAGAAAGGTGGGAAAATAGTGCTGGGTCCACACTATTTTGTGAGGGAAACGAGGCCTAATAGAACTTTTGATTTCTATTTTTTCGAACTTTTTGGCCTTGTTTTCCCTTGTTTTGTGTGGACGCAGCACTATTGTACCATTTGGCTTATCTACTACTTATTTTATTATTAATCACTATTGTACCACCTTGTTACATACCGTCCCCTTCTGATGTAAGGGCACATCTCAATTTCCATGTGAGCTCTATTTCGCATATAAAACCATGCTTTCTGAGGCTCATACGGAAATTGCGGTACTCCCTTACGTCAGATAAGCGACAATGCGTCCGGGCTACGTGGGTTTATGGTTTTGTTTCTCTCGTTAATTTCAAGTTTGCATTCAGCTGTAGAGTAACTGAACTGTATAACGCAAAAAGAAACTAATATTTCTGGCTCATTTAGAAAAATTCATGGCATTTATGTGTATGCTACAATAAACCGAAAATGATAATTCCTTTCTACTTGATTCAGTCCAATTACTTTCAGTTAGATGCGGTATTGTTCGATAGTAGGTATCACACGAGAACTATGCATAACTTATAAGAATTGCAAATACTTTTTATCTCTTTCAGCAACTGAGGGCATTTAAGTTATGGATACGATAGAACAAATAGGTACACATTTTGGAGGGCACTACTTCCGTCTTCAATGGCTCATCATGCGGAGCATTTTCTTCGTTTTTTGCAGACCTGAAACAAACTAAGAATAAAAAAAAGAAAGATTAGTTGGAGCTTAACCTAACTTGAAAATAAAAAGTTTAGTGGAAGATTTATTTTAAATAGAAGTTGTGTTTTTATATAAAGAAATTTGATAAATATTTTTGTTTGTTTGAATACTATCCCCTTTTCTGTTGTTTTTAATATGATGATCCTTCGGGCTTTTTGTTCATGTAAAATCAATTTGATGAAGCTGATACCCATCTCTTATTCTAGTACAAAATTAATTATTTACTTGGAATGTAATGTAGCTAATTTCTACTTTTGTCTTTTCTTTCGCTATTTGTTATGACGTCGCTTGGCTGCGGGCCGATTGTTGAAATTGAAAGATAAGGCGATAGACAAAGAAGACATAGGGAGTATGGAGCTATCCTATTGGTTGAAACGGGTGGATGCTTTAGGGGAGAAAATAATGGACTAATTATCGGGTCCCTCGTATGTTGCTGTTACTTAGTCTATTACCTACCTTTTTTGTCCAATGCAACCGCCCGCTATCACCAATAGGATCCCTCTATATTTCTTTTGTCTTCTTTGGCTATAGATTTGTCTATCAATTTCAATAATCGGCCCGCTGACAGAAGGGCGTAACTACAGATTGAGATGAGCCCGGAAAAGCATTGAATTGTGTGGAAGACAGGGCTCATTGCAAAGTGTAGCTACGCCCTTATGTCAGGTAGGCGACAATGTGAGCTACTAATAAAAGTCATTTTAAAGTGATTATAAATGATAAAAAAGTGATAAGTAATTAGAAACGACTCAGTGTTTCTTGCTTAATCATGCGAAAATC